TACAAGCCTAAAGTATACATATATGTATATATGTAACTACTGACACTCCTGGGGATGCAACCCCACAACAGCTGCCTTGCTCCCAGGTACCTATTTACTGCTAGGTGTGAGTAGGTGCATTAGGTGAAAAAAAGGAAATATTCCCAACTATTTCTGTCTCGCCCGTGATTCGAACTCTGGATTCCCAATTGAGCGTTGAAGAACGAATCCAACTGAACTACTGAGACCCTTATACAGTAACCTGAGAAATATCATTAACTTTTCAGATGACTGGATAGAATAACAATGATTTTGGATTCACTGCAGCATGACAATAGCGTATAATGGCAGTGAAGTCAGTTTAGTTAACAAAGGTGAGAGGTTAGGAGTAGCTGGGAGGGGGGGGGGGGGTTTGCTGAGTGCAGCTAGGAGTATTTGGGGATGCTAAGTATAGCTAGGGGTATCTGTGGGTTCCTGTGTTTAGGTAGCTAGGAGTATCTAGGGGTCCTGGGTGTAGCTAGGAGTATCTAGGGGTCCTGGGTGTAGCTAGGAGTATCTAGGGGTCCTGGGTGTAGCTAGGAGTAGGGGTCCTGGGTGTAGCTAGGAGGGGTCCTGGGTGTAGCTAGGAGTATCTAGGGGTCCTGGGTGTAGCTAGGAGTATCTAGGGGTCCTGGGTGTAGCTAGGAGTAGGGGTCCTGGGTGTCTAGTATCTAGGGGTCCTGGGTGTAGCTAGGAGTATCTAGGGGTCCTGGGTGTAGCTAGGAGTATCTAGGGGTCCTGGGTGTAGCTAGGAGTATCTAGGGGTCCTGGGTGTAGCTAGGAGTATCTAGGGGTCCTGGGTGTAGCTAGGAGTATCTAGGGGTCCTGGGTGTAGCTAGGAGTATCTAGGGGTCCTGGGTGTAGCTAGGAGTATCTAGGGGTCCTGGGTGTAGCTAGGAGTATCTAGGGGTCCTGGGTGTAGCTAGGAGTATCTAGGGGTCCTGGGTGTAGCTAGGAGTATCTAGGGGTCCTGGGTGTAGCTAGGAGTATCTAGGGGTCCTGGGTGTAGCTAGGAGTATCTAGGGGTCCTGGGTGTAGCTAGGAGTATCTAGGGGTCCTGGGTGTAGCTAGGAGTATCTAGGGGTCCTGGGTGTAGCTAGGAGTATCTAGGGGTCCTGGGTGTAGCTAGGAGTATCTAGGGGTCCTGGGTGTAGCTAGGAGTATCTAGGGGTCCTGGGTGTAGCTAGGAGTATCTAGGGGTCCTGGGTGTAGCTAGGAGTATCTAGGGGTCCTGGGTGTAGCTAGGAGTATCTAGGGGTCCTGGGTGTAGCTAGGAGTATCTAGGGGTCCTGGGTGTAGCTAGGAGTATCTAGGGGTCCTGGGTGTAGCTAGGAGTATCTAGGGGTCCTGGGTGTAGCTAGGAGTATCTAGGGGTCCTGGGTGTAGCTAGGAGTATCTAGGGGTCCTGGGTGTAGCTAGGAGTATCTAGGGGTCCTGGGTGTAGCTAGGAGTATCTAGGGGTCCTGGGTGTAGCTAGGAGTATCTAGGGGTCCTGGGTGTAGCTAGGAGTATCTAGGGGTCCTGGGTGTAGCTAGGAGTATCTAGGGGTCCTGGGTGTAGCTAGGAGTATCTAGGGGTCCTGGGTGTAGCTAGGAGTATCTAGGGGTCCTGGGTGTAGCTAGGAGTATCTAGGGGTCCTGGGTGTAGCTAGGAGTATCTAGGGGTCCTGGGTGTAGCTAGGAGTATCTAGGGGTCCTGGGTGTAGCTAGGAGTATCTAGGGGTCCTGGGTGTAGCTAGGAGTATCTAGGGGTCCTGGGTGTAGCTAGGAGTATCTAGGGGTCCTGGGTGTAGCTAGGAGTATCTAGGGGTCCTGGGTGTAGCTAGGAGTATCTAGGGGTCCTGGGTGTAGCTAGGAGTATCTAGGGGTCCTGGGTGTAGCTAGGAGTATCTAGGGGTCCTGGGTGTAGCTAGGAGTATCTAGGGGTCCTGGGTGTAGCTAGGAGTATCTAGGGGTCCTGGGTGTAGCTAGGAGTATCTAGGGGTCCTGGGTGTAGCTAGGAGTATCTAGGGGTCCTGGGTGTAGCTAGGAGTATCTAGGGGTCCTGGGTGTAGCTAGGAGTATCTAGGGGTCCTGGGTGTAGCTAGGAGTATCTAGGGGTCCTGGGTGTAGCTAGGAGTATCTAGGGGTCCTGGGTGTAGCTAGGAGTATCTAGGGGTCCTGGGTGTAGCTAGGAGTATCTAGGGGTCCTGGGTGTAGCTAGGAGTATCTAGGGGTCCTGGGTGTAGCTAGGAGTATCTAGGGGTCCTGGGTGTAGCTAGGAGTATCTAGGGGTCCTGGGTGTAGCTAGGAGTATCTAGGGGTCCTGGGTGTAGCTAGGAGTATCTAGGGGTCCTGGGTGTAGCTAGGAGTATCTAGGGGTCCTGGGTGTAGCTAGGAGTATCTAGGGGTCCTGGGTGTAGCTAGGAGTATCTAGGGGTCCTGGGTGTAGCTAGGAGTATCTAGGGGTCCTGGGTGTAGCTAGGAGTATCTAGGGGTCCTGGGTGTAGCTAGGAGTATCTAGGGGTCCTGGGTGTAGCTAGGAGTATCTAGGGGTCCTGGGTGTAGCTAGGAGTATCTAGGGGTCCTGGGTGTAGCTAGGAGTATCTAGGGGTCCTGGGTGTAGCTAGGAGTATCTAGGGGTCCTGGGTGTAGCTAGGAGTATCTAGGGGTCCTGGGTGTAGCTAGGAGTATCTAGGGGTCCTGGGTGTAGCTAGGAGTATCTAGGGGTCCTGGGTGTAGCTAGGAGTATCTAGGGGTCCTGGGTGTAGCTAGGAGTATCTAGGGGTCCTGGGTGTAGCTAGGAGTATCTAGGGGTCCTGGGTGTAGCTAGGAGTATCTAGGGGTCCTGGGTGTAGCTAGGAGTATCTAGGGGTCCTGGGTGTAGCTAGGAGTATCTAGGGGTCCTGGGTGTAGCTAGGAGTATCTAGGGGTCCTGGGTGTAGCTAGGAGTATCTAGGGGTCCTGGGGTAGCTAGGAGTATCCTAGGAGTATCTAGGGGTCCTGGGTGTAGCTAGGAGTATCTAGGGGTCCTGGGTGTAGCTAGGAGTATCTAGGGGTCCTGGGTGTAGCTAGGAGTATCTAGGGGTCCTGGGTGTAGGGGTATCTCCTGGGTGTGCTAGGAGCTAGGCTAGGAGTATCTAGGGGTCCTGGGTGTAGCTAGGAGTATCTAGGGGTCCTGGGTGGCTAGGAGTATCTAGCTAGGAGTATCTAGGGGTCCTGGGTGTAACTAGGAGTATCTAGGGGTCCTGGGTGTAGCTAGGAGTATCTAGGGGTCCTGGGTGTAGCTAGGAGTATCTAGGGGTCCTGGGTGTAGCTAGGAGTATCTAGGGGTCCTGGGTGTAGCTAGGAGTATCTAGGGGTCCTGGGTGTAGCTAGGAGTATCTAGGGGTCCTGGGTGTAGCTAGGAGCTAGGATCTAGGGGTCCTGGGTGTAGCTAGGAGTATCTAGGGGTCCTGGGTGTAGCTAGGAGTATCTAGGGGTCCTGGGTGTAGCTAGGAGTATCTAGGGGTCCTGGGTGTAGCTAGGAGTATCTAGGGGTCCTGGGTGTAGCTAGGAGTATCTAGGGGTCCTGGGTGTAGCTAGGAGTATCTAGGGGTCCTGGGTGTAGCTAGGAGTATCTAGGGGTCCTGGGTGTAGCTAGGAGTATCTAGGGGTCCTGGGTGTAGCTAGGAGTATCTAGGGGTCCTGGGTGTAGCTAGGAGTATCTAGGGGTCCTGGGTGTAGCTAGGAGTATCTAGGGGTCCTGGGTGTAGCTAGGAGTATCTAGGGGTCCTGGGTGTAGCTAGGAGTATCTAGGGGTCCTGGGTGTAGCTAGGAGTATCTAGGGGTCCTGGGTGTAGCTAGGAGTATCTAGGGGTCCTGGGTGTAACTAGGAGTATCTAGGGGTCCTGGGTGTAGCTAGGAGTATCTAGGGGTCCTGGGTGCTAGGAGTATCTAGGGGTCCTGGGTGTAGCTAGGAGTATCTAGGGGTCCTGGGGGCTAGGAGTAGGGGTCCTGGGTGTAACTAGGAGTATCTAGGGGTCCTGGGTGTAGCTAGGAGTATCTAGGGGTCCTGGGTGTAACTAGGAGTATCTAGGGGTCCTGGGTGTAGCTAGGAGTATCTAGGGGTCCTGGGTGTAGCTAGGAGTATCTAGGGGTCCTGGGTGTAGCTAGGAGTATCTAGGGGTCCTGGGTGTAACTAGGAGTATCTAGGGGTCCTGGGTGTAGCTAGGAGTATCTAGGGGTCCTGGGTGTAACTAGGAGTATCTAGGGGTCCTGGGTGTAGCTAGGAGTATCTAGGGGTCCTGGGTGTAGCTAGGAGTATCTGGGAGTATCTCCATTAACCACCATGGAACCAGTCTTAAGGAGATGCTTTAATAAAAAGCAGTAAACAAAAAGACATTGAAAATCTATCGATATAATAGTTGTTTATTTACATAGCGTCGAGAGCTACTCGAGGAATATATTTTAAATAATAGAATATTTAAAAGATTGAACTCAGTGGCCCCGAGTGCCTCCTCCTCCTCCTCCTCCTGACGGATATGTATCTCTGGACCATGTATACTTCATTCATGGTGAGTAATACATACAATATGTGTAAGTATTGATAATGACTCGGACTGTCGAAGTGTATCGACTGTATGTTCGAGAGTAATGAACCAGCGTACGATGTTCCAGTCTTCTTGTTGGACGCATCGGCTCTCTAATTTGGCGGGCGGTACCGTAGCCTTGAGTGACTGGTGGGTCGTCGTTGTCGTGGTGCTCGTGGTGGTAGTCGTCGGTGTGTCCTTGGTGGTCGTGGTGGCTGTGGTGATGCTGGTAGTGCTGCTGCTGGTGGTAGTGGTGTTGACAGTTGAATTACAGATCGATAAATTGGTGGTTGCCAAAGTCGATGCCGCAGTGGGTGCTGCAGGTGGGACTCGTACAGATGACAGCCACCACGAGTGAAGTAACGGGACCCACTGCGTCTCTGGCCAGTCCTGCCGTCCAGTCCTCAAGGACTCGAGGACCATGCTGCTGGGGCCTTCAACAGGAGGACAGAGGTCCTTGGGAAGTCACCTCACTGAGGGAGGAGGGATATATAAGGTGGCAGGACACTGAGCTTCATCACAACACGCCAACACCACCACCACCAGCCTCCGCTGCGTGAGTACAGTCCCTCTACTCTCCCTGGCCCACTACTCTCCCTGGCTCACTACTCTCCCTGGCCCACTACTCTCCCTGGCCCACTACTCTCCCTGGCCCACTACTCTCCCTGGCCCACTACTCTCCCTGGCCCACTACTCTCCCTGGCTCACTACTCTCCCTGGCCCACTACTCTCCCTGGCCCACTACTCTCCCTGGCCCACTACTCTCCCTGGCTCACTACTCTCCCTGGCTCACTACTCTCCCTGGCCCACTACTCTCCCTGGCCCACTACTCTCCCTGGCCCACTACTCTCCCTGGCCCACTACTCTCCCTGGCCCACTACTCTCCCTGGCTCACTACTCTCCCTGGTGTAACGGGGGGTGGGGGAAATAGCTCTATCCTGTCCATTATTCCACCCCCCAGTTAACTAACGAGGCCGGGGGAAACAGCTCTCTCTAGTCCGTTATCCCGTCCCCAGTTAGCTAACTATTCTAGAGCACCTCCAGAGTTCCTAAGGCAACCTCTCTCGTTCAACACCTTGTAACCTAGGTATTTGACTACCTAGGTGCTAAGACTACAAGGCGCCGTCACTTGATCAGCTACCCGAAACTCTAGAGAGAACTCTAGAATACTGAATCATTGCCACAAACGTATAAGAGAAAACGAAAGGAAAGAAATGAATAGTGAAGTAATTAGTGAGGGTTTGGGGTGAGAGGGAGAGAGGTGGGAGGAGCGAGGATGGTCATTAGTTGAAAGTGAGAGTTTAGAGAAGGGTGGAGGGAGAGGTGTAGATAGGTAGATGTAGAAGAGTAGATAGTAGAAGTAGAAGAGTAGATAGTAGAAGACGAAATGCTGCCACCATCCATTCATGATCATTACATACAAGACAAGGAATGGAACTTGCCTGTATCACAAAATTCTCAAAAGATGTTATCATGAGTTCATTATTAGTATGTTCCCTCTGTACCATGTATCAACTCCAAACATGTACTCGTTAATATCATGAAACCAGTAACCACAGAGACTTTCTCACCTCAACTCAAATCTCTAGGGAACAAAGTTAAACACAATTTAAATAATAAATTCATAATTATATTTCCCATGAAGTATCATAATTTAGCAATTCAATTAAAATGTTCCAGTTTAATATGCAAAGTGAGTCATCATCCAAGAATTCGAGAACCCTACAACTTGACTGCCCCTGATCATCACACAGCATATGTAAACACGACCAAATCACCTTAATGTTCACTCACCGAGGACTGAGTCTAAGTTGAATAGAGAGGGGGGGGGTCTGTAGCTTGACAGAGACTGTCTCGCCCCTGCCGGCCGACAGCCTCCCTGCTAGGGACGTCTTCTCTGCTCTGCTGGCTCGTCTGCTCTGTTGTCTTAATGCTACAATGCTCTATGCTCCCTCAGTATATATTGGGGACCCTAGAACTAACTCCGCCCACAAGTAGATAGCCTCCGGCACTACCAAGCCACTCCTTAAACGTCGGCATGTTTGAAGGCTACCAGGCTCCAACTAAGAGATTATCAGAAGCAAGGTGAAATTCGCATGATCTGACCTCAGGTCACTTGAGGTCATTAACGCTTAGAGGTGTGAGATCTCAGGCAGACAACTGGCGCCTCTCAGATCCTTGTCTGTGACTCATGTACTCTATGTATGTATTAAACTAAACCAAACACTTTACAGTGTTACACTGGCCCACTACTCTCCCTGGCCCACTACTCTCCCTGGCCCACAACTCTCCCTGGCCCACTACTCTCCCTGGCCCACTACTCTCCCTGGCTCAATACTCTCCCTGGCCCACTACTCTCCCTGGCCCACTACTCTCCCTGGCCCACTACTCTCCCTGGCCCACTACTCTCCCTGGCCCACTACTCTCCCTGGCTCACTACTCTCCCTGGCCCACTACTCTCCCTGGCCCACTACTCTCCCTGGCCCACTACTCTCCCTGGCCCACTACTCTCCCTGGCCCACTACTCTCCCTGGCCCACTACTCTCCCTTTACTAAACTAAGAACAGGACTCCACAAATTAGTGTCGAGTACTCTCAGTCTCTACTATCTGAGGTAAACAGACTCCCGCAGCATCTTGGTGATGTTCAGTCATCTCCAGATATTTTCCCACGACAGTCTTGACGTTGTCTTGTAAACGTGACTTATAATCTTCTCCTCTCATCATCTTGATCCATGGACTTGAAATTTTGTAAGTCTTATTGTAAAAAAAAGTCTATTTGGAGCGTCTGTTATATATTTTGGTTATTATTATTGAGAAAATTAGTAGGAGACATGGGAAGGATTCGAACCTATGCTCGAATCCTCATCACGGCTCCTTCGGATTTTCTCATTAGTATTATTAGTATTATTATATAATTATTATTATTACTCATATTGCTGAACATACACACAACATATTAAGGTGGGAATGTCCTCCTGCAGCCTGCAGAAGACCTTGAGAGAGCGCCCCTCCCCGCCAACATGTGCCGCACGGCAGCCCTGCTCCTGAGCCTGGCCGCGGTAGCGCTGGCTCGCTATGCCTGGCGGTTCCCCGTCGACTACGAACTAACACTCTCCCAACCCCTCACCACCTCCTTCAGCTGCGACGGCCGCCCCTACGGCTACTACGCCGACGTCGACAACAACTGCGAGATCTACCACGTCTGCGTGCCTGTCTACGGCTACTTCGGGGCCCCCGTGCACACCTTCCAGTACTCCTTCGTCTGTGGGAACCAGACGACGTTCAGTCAGAAGACCCTCAACTGCGACTTCGCAGACGAGGCCTTCCCTTGCGACCAGTCTCCGTCGCTCTACGCTGAAATCCCGCTACACGACGTTGACGCTGACCCAGACGCCATCTTACCCTCGTAGCAACCTCGTGTCCTTATCCCAAGACTTTTATGAGGTCTCGGACTCTTGTAAGAGGTCTCAGACTCATGTAAGAGGTTTCAGACTCATGTAAGAGGTCTCAGACTCTTGTAAGAGGTCTCAGACTCTCGTAAAAGTCTGAGTCTACTCAATGGGATGCAATTATACTGACTTTCATCCCCATTGCATTATCATACTACAGGACTAAAGTATACTTTCAGTGAATATACACCTAGAAGCTATAGGTATATCTCTTGGTGTGTATATCCTGCCAATATAATTCAGTCATAGATATGTGTGTGTCCATCCTACGCTCGAAACAATCCAAGGCTCCCACGTCTATTATGATACCCGGTAATGTGTTTCGTAAACCTACAACAGTGTTCCCTTTGTGTAAATATTTATTTTAAAAATATTCGACACAAGTTCTGCTGCAGCTTATAATAATTGTGACTCGAGGTTGAATAAATGATCACTGTTCCTTTTTTCTCGTGTTCCTTCACTAGTTTATAAGTATCTCCTCTTTATTATCTATCTATCTATTTCCGTGTATTAAATATCTTTAGCTATTAACGGCGAAGGAAATGTATTTTTAGTGTCGCTGTTTCATAATGCATGTGAACGGTCGTTGTTGTTGTTTAAGATTCGCTACCCGGAACGAAAAGTTCCAAGTAGCACGGGCTATGGTGAGCCCGTAGTTGTGAACGGAATTCCTCTAGGACTTAGACTAAATGTTGGCGTACCCAGGATGCAACCCCACAACAGTTGCCTGACCTCCCCGGGCACCTATTTAACTACTAGGTGAACAGCACAGCGACATCAGCTGAAAGAAAACTTGCCCAACCGTTTTTGTCTTGTCTGGAAATTAAACCTAGGTCCCTCGATTGTGATTCTGCTCTGTTGATCCTTATCAACAGAGCAGCCCGTCCTCATCAACAGAGCAGTCCGTCCTCATCAACAGACCAGTCCGTCCTCATCAACAGACCAGTCCGTCCTCATCAACAGACCAGTCCGTCCTCATCAACAGACCAGTCCGTCCTCATCAACAGACCAGTCCGTCCTCATCAACAGACCAGTCCGTCCTCATCAACAGAGAAGTCCGTCCTCATCAACAGACCAGGCCGTCCTCATCAACAGAGCAGTCCGTCCTCATCAACAGAGAAGTCCGTCCTCATCAACAGACCAGGCCGTCCTCATCAACAGACCAGGCCGTCCTCATCAACAGAGAAGTCCGTCCTCATCAACAGACCAGGCCGTCCTCATCAACAGAGAAGTCCGTCCTCATCAACAGACCAGTCCGTCCTCATCAACAGACCAGGCCATCCTCATCAACAGAGAAGTCCGTCCTCATCAACAGACCAGGCCGTCCTCATCAACAGAGAAGTCCGTCCTCATCAACAGACCAGGCCGTCCTCATCAACAGACCAGGCCGTCCTCATCAACAGAGAAGTCCGTCCTCATCAACAGAGAAGTCCGTCCTCATCAACAGAGAAGTCCGTCCTCATCAACAGAGAAGTCCGTCCTCATCAACAGACCAGGCCGTCCTCATCAACAGAGAAGTCCGTCCTCATCAACAGAGAAGTCCGTCCTCATCAACAGAGAAGTCCGTCCTCATCAACAGAGAAGTCCGTCCTCATCAACAGACCAGGCCGTCCTCATCAACAGACCAGGCCGTCCTCATCAACAGAGAAGTCCGTCCTCATCAACAAACGTCAAAGCTTCATTCCATGCAGCCTCCAAACCCCCTGTTCATGAATGAAAAACGATTTTCACACAACCTCACTGTTGATGATCGATTATTTCTCGAACAGTCCTTCGCTGACCACCTCTGTTCGAATCGCAATGATGTAAATGCTTCACCACGTACTACAAACCTATACCTAACTATACATATAACTTTAATATATAATATTAAATTATATGTGAGGTCAAACCTATTTTAATATCAAATGCATTGCAACTGGTCGATGCTTTTCGGGTGATGGCCGCTGCTTTAACGAGCCTGGCCTGAGGACGAGTCGCAGAAGGATTAAAGCGTCGGCCAAGGAAGTGGTGAAAGGGAAATTTCAAAGGTTACACGCTTGTCTTATTTCCATTATATCTTTCGGACCATTATTGTACTCTGTTGCGTCAGGGCTCTTCTGTCTCGTGGGTACTGACGGACACCCAGCTAGACACTGACCACAACCTCACAACCCTTCAACCTTAAACCCCCAACACACTCCCGCAACACACACCCGCAACACCACCACAACCTCACCCCCCTGCCACAACACACCCCCACAACACACCACCACAACACCCCCACAACCTCACCCCCCCCACAACACACCCCCACAACACCACCACAACACACCCCCACAACACACCCCCACAACACACCCCCACAACACACCCCCCACAACACACCCCCACAACACACCACCACAACACCCCCACAACCTCACCCCCCCCACAACACACCCCCACAACACACCACCACAACACCCCCACAACCTCACCCCCCCCCCCAACACACCCCACAACACACACACCCCCCCCCACAACACACCCCCACAACAACACACCCAACACACACACACCCCCACAACACACCCCCACAACACACCCCCACAACACACCCCCACAACACACCCCCACAACACACCCCCACAACACCACCACAACACACACACCACAACACACCCCCACAACACACCCCCACAACACACCCCCACAACACACCCCCACAACACACCCCCACAACACACCCCCACAACCTCACCCCCCCCCACAACACACCCCCACAACACCACCACAACACACCCCCACAACACACCCCCACAACACACCCCCACAACCATCCCTTCACCAGGCAAATGCGAGACTTTAATATTATACAATTAACAGACTGTTTAATATTCCACACAAATGTCCTTCATGTGTGCACGTACTGACAGAAGGCAGAATTCCAAATAATTATCTTTATCACTTGGCTTGGGTCAAATATGCAACGTTTTAAGAGAGACAGAGATAGAGAGATAGTTGAATATCTATTTGATAGATACCTGTACAACGTGTATATTAGTGGTATATTCCTGAGAACTGAGTTACAGCGAAGATAAGTGTGAGATAATACAAGACAATACACACAACACACACACCTTGTGTGTGAGTATAGATACAGGTGTGACAAGTGCATTATGTTTGGTATTTTACGAGACGTGTGGCCTTGTGTCCGGTTTCATCCAGCAGGTGTGTCTGGGGCCGTTTATAGCATTCCTAAATTAGTAGTGAGTACCCATTATCCCCTCCCCCGTAGCCTCAAGGTCCTGCGTGATCCTCTACATATATGCAAATTTCCTCTTGGGTTTAGTATAGGTCAGAGCCAGGAGTCACCATGGTTTTAAGTACCCACTCTCACTTTCATGTCTGTCTGTCTGTCTGTCTGTCTGCCTGTCTGTCTGTCTGTCTGTCTGTCTGTCTGTCTGTCTGTCTGTCTGTCTGTCTGTCTGTCTGTCTGCTCTGCCTGTCTCTCTCTCTCTCTCTCTCTCTCTCTCTCTCTCTCTCTCTCTCTCTCTCTCTCTCTCTCTCTCTCTCTCTCTCTCTCTCTCTCTCTCTCTCTCTCTCTCTCTCTCTCTCTCTCTCTCTCTCTCTCTCTCTCTCTCTCTCTCTCTCTCTCTCTCTCTCTCTCTCTCTCTCTCTCTCTCCCCCCCCCCTCAAACCTTGTATATTTGATCCAAGCTAACCAACAATTTAATTGTCTATTAAACAGTTTACGAGGTCGTAAGTGTTACGAGGTCGTTCATAACAATAATAATCTTGTGTTATGAAGTCTCCCAAGTTCGTAAACTATTTAATAAATACAAACTAAGCCACTATGAGCTGGTCTCATAAGTGCACACGTAAATGATACAGGAAAGATGTACAGCCTTCGTAAGTAACCATGTAAATGCTTCATGAATATTGTTAAATATTAGGCGACTATGCATTGTAAGGTTATTGGTTAGGTTCTGTCCTCAGGCCAGGCTCGTTAGAGGAGTGGCCGTCCCGGTAATCATCAGTTTTAACTATATTACAAATTGGTGTCTCCTCATATACAAGTTAAATTATTATATATTACATTTCAGTCTATAGTTAAGCTTAGGTTAAACAAATCCACAAGGGCCGTGACGAGGATTCGAACCTACTTCCGAGATCATTCCCAGACGCTGCCTTAATCGACTGAGCTACGATATAGTCACGGACGTAGGTTCGAATCCTCGTCTCGGCCCCTGTGGATTTGTTCATTGATGCATCACGCTATTGTGATTTTTGCGTGTAAGGGTTACATTCTGTTGGCGATTATTTGTATCTGTAGTACGTGGGTGAAGCATTTACAGCGTTGTGGGTCGAACAGAGGTGCTCAGCGAAGCACTCTTTGAGAAATGATCGATACATAAAATATGATTTATAAAATTAAAAATAAAAATATTTAAGTTTGATATGGACACTCTTTTAGAGATAAGTTTAATTTGTATTACCACGATTAATATTGACCTTTATTAAAATTATGAGGATTTTATTCTAAAAAAAAACTCAACATCACAATGATGTTTTTAATTTAAGGACATTTTCTTATGGTATATTTGGCAGGTTTTGAGGCACTTTCATTGTTGAAACTTGGAGACCGGGAGCTAGAGTCGTCTCCAGGGCTGGGGATTGACATAGGTGGGCGGGGTGGGCGTGGAGCGGTCGTAGTAGGGCACTAGCCTGTCTCCCGTGTGGGCGTGGCAGGTGAAGCTGCGGGCGTGGCGGGGGTTCGAGGCCTTCCAGTGGGCGTAGGCGCGTCTGCTCTCCTCTGCTCTCTTCTGCTTCCGCCTCTCTGCTTCCTCTGCCTCCTGTTGCATCCTGCGGGAGATGAGATCTTAAAAGAGGGACAGATGCTGAGAAAAACTTTATACATACTGTATGTACATACTGTATCATAATGTATCACTTACTGTATTATATACTGTATATAAATACTGAAGTACTGTATCTACAAAACAGGATGTCATATCTGTTTGGCTGTTCAAATTTGGAAGTCAGACGCTCGGGGTTAGCCTCACGCAACTTAACAAAATGAAACATGAGGTGTATGGGAGTGTCATAGGCCAGTCGGAGTCGTCCCCAGTGCCATCCTTTAAGCAAATATCAGCATCTATAGTGACCCCCCCCCTCCACTGCGATTTTTACTAAGTCCAAAATCCTGTATTTAGCTTCCATGGAGATTTTACCAATTTTCAGCTGTGTGTAATGTCATATTTTTTGATAGATGAGAGGAGAGGAGAAGGGAAGAGAGGGAGAGGGGTGAGGAGACGGAGAGTAGGTATTGAGGGGAAATTATACTGATCCATTATTTCAGAGTGAGTTTTTCTCTTATTATTTTAAAATCGCTGTATGATGCTCGTTAACCCTCAATTAGAACCACCCTTTTCACCGAACCACTCATTACACCAAACTATTCTTGACACCACCGAACCATCTCTCTAGCAACCATCATGCCAGAGAGATTTGGGAACCAAAGTTCAAGGACCTGTGAAGACCAACTAGGAAAGGAATGTGTCACCGTTGGCAACTACTGCTGAGTGTTAGTATTGAGTTCTTACAGAAGTGTTCACGCGATCACCTGTGTGCGGGGGGAGTTGTCAAATGACGCTGTGTTTGTGTGTTTACAGCATCAGTGTATCACTGAGCACTGAGGAGGACAATTGTGTCACGTTACAACAGTCATCGAACTCTGTACAATATCTCGATCATTTTCAGAGCTTCAGTAATCGATACTGGTATTCAGATGACGTAAATACACTTTGAACGCAACGTTGTTTAATCCACAACGGGTTGTGTACAACAAATGCATGCAAGGAATGCACGCAATGAATACCTGTAAGGAATGCGTGCAAATAATTCCTGCGAGGAATGCACGCAAGGAATGCGAGCAAAGAATGCATGATTCGAATTGATTTCTCGAATTAATTCGAGAAATGCACACACAAGGAATTCGCACAAGGCATTGAAGAATAGAGTAGAAAAGGACTTGGACAGAGCGAAGGTAAAGCTTGATTAAGGTGATAGCATCCTATATAGTCTTTACTAGACTATAATACTATAAAACAAAATCCTCTCTATCTCTCTATTTTCTACCTTTACTCTTACCTAATTTTCTCCTTCCGTTGTTCATCGCGTTTCTTCTTATGCCACTCCACCATTGCCTCCTTCACCCTCTTCTTTTTCTTCTCTTCTTCCTTACTCCTCCTTTCTCTCTCTTCTTCTTCTGCCTCTTCCCTTTCCCTCTCTGCCCTCTCTCGTTCCTTCTTTTTCATCCATGCTTCTCGTCTACTCTTCTGCAACCATTCTGCTAATTTCCGCTCGTTCAATTCTTTCTTCCGCGAGCATATTTTAATCACTTCCAGTTGTCTGTCTCGTTCATGCTGCTCCTCTGAGTTAATAGATGCTTCATCATCCTCGCTCTTATCGGAACTTGCGCCAGGATGCGACACGACTTCTGATCTAGAATAGTCATCCAATTTCTGAGATTCAGTTTTCTTTGAAAGCGTCAAGTCGCTCGTAGGCGGTGCTTGGGTAGACTGATTACTTCCAGTTTCGTCAGTTCCTTGCGATTTAGAAGCTTCTTGGCCATCTTCGGAGTCGGTTTTTGTCGTCTTAGTGTCGGAATGTTGTTTCTGTGCGCTTTCGGGAGTCTGCGAGCCGGTGTCTGTCACCTTTGATTCGCCACTTTTTTCGTCATCTTCAAAAGACTCGGAATATGGGGTTTCCTTCTTGACCTGAAAATCTTTATTGTCGTCTCTCAGAGCAAGTTTCCTCGTCTGGTTCACGATGTCGGATAAATATTTAGCGCTTGTCTTTCGCGAGTAATTGTTTTTCTCCAGGAAGGTCTTGACGGCCGCCGAGGTCTTAATGTCGTTGCCGCAGTCGTCGTCAAAGAAGTCGTCGATCATCTCCTCCGAGATTCAACACTCACGTTCATACACCCTGGAGTTTTACCTGGAGTCGAGTCTGAGAGCTCTGCTCCCCAAAGCCCGGTCTGGGATCAGGCGTGACTTGTGATAACTTGACTTGATAGGCTGTTGTTTGAAGCACCCCGCAGGCCCACATATTCATTACAACCCGGTTGGTCCTGCACGAAATCGTCTAATTGTGTTCTTGAACACATACACTTCCCTCACCTCCGTTCTAATGTATAACTTCCACACTTGGAGAAAGTGATTCATCCTACCAGCCAATGTAAACCGGAATAACACTACGATATGCAACCATCGCCGCCCGTCACAGCAGGTGTGTTGGGTGGAGGTCGGCAGGTGTGTGAGAGAGAGCAGTGAGGGCTCTCCGGTGGACACGCGGCCAAACATAATACCACTTAGTCCGGGCGGAGTGTCCCACCACCACCACCACCACCCGGAATGTCCTCCACGCTTCCCCGCCTCGCTAACAGATGTCGCTCCGCCACTTCAGTTTTGAAGAGCCCCATAATTATCCTCCCATCATCTGTTTACGCCCCCAAGAGCAATTGAGTGGGCTTATTTAACCTGACTTGACTTGACTTAATTTTACCTGCGGTTCTAACTCTCTAAATAAACTGCCAGCGACGACATAGTTATAAATATGAAACTCGAGCTATTTTGCTCGCTAGGCAACCCCTTTACAACAAGTGTGGATCGATAGGCGGGCGGAGAGCAACAGGTGGCGCTGTAAATCATTTAAAGAGTGTTCGGGTACCACTTCCCGGCACTCTGTGCTCCGAGGAAGATGAGTAGTTTATCGTTATCATCAAACCACTCTTACCGTGAGGTCAGCTAGAGGTCATGGGTTGTTAGTGAGGCATTTGGGTATTTGTGGCCGCTCGTATCATCGAGCGCCCTTTTCTCTATGCGCGGATATTGATCCGATACAGAATATTGATAGACAGAATAGCTAATGGATGAATCGATAGTTTTATTGCTAACTAGGATAGATGCTCGACTTGGTTTTTCCTGGGGAGAGAACATTGTTGTTTTTGTTTATGTCTATAGTCTGTTTGTTTTTACCGGTCTCGTCCTGTATTTGTCTGCCACGTCAATTGTTTGCCTGTCTGTCTGCTATTCCAATTAGCCAAGTTATGTTTAGCTTTGTCATTTCTCTCTCTGTCTCTGTCTCTGTCTGTCTCTCTCTCTCTCTCTCTCTCTCTCTCTCTCTCTCTCTCTCTCTCTCTCTCTCTCTCTCTCTCTCTCTCTCTCGCTCTCTCTCTCTCTCTCTCTCTCTCTCCTCTCTCACTCTCTCTCTCTCTCTCTCTCTCTCTCTCTCTCTCTCTCTCTCTCTCTCTCTCTCTCTCTCTCTCTCTCTCTCTCTCTCTCTCTCTCTCTCTCTCTCTCTCTCTCTCTCTCTCTCTCTCTCTATCTCTCTCTCTCTCTCTCTCAGCAGTGTTTAAAGGAGCGGCCGACGTCCCCTCGCCCCAAGGGGACACTACTTAATAAACTAAATGTTATATATACCCTTTAATCGTCGCACTCTCGGGACTCCAAGACCTGTTTCCAGTAGGGTCTAAAACCTGCACCCGCGGGACTATTATGGCGTCATAGTGACGTCATACCTCTCGTGTACGCCATATATATAAGGCTGAAAGTTTTATATTAGTTTTTCGTTAGGTTAGATTAGACGGGGTTAGGTTAGGGAGGGTTGGGTTAGGTTAGGTTAGACGGGGTTAGGTTAGGGAGGGTTGGGTTAGGTTAGGTTTGTTTAGGGAGTAGCGATGACGTAGAAGGCTGCGTGTTTTTTCTCTGGTGTTAGACCCTACTTCATGTTTTAGCTCCGATGATTATTATTTTCCCAGGATGATCAACACGCCTTGATCTTCAAGTCTAGAGTGATCATGTTCAGATCACCTTCGTCCTTGGATATTTAACCTGACTTCGCAATTTATTGCACCATAATTACTACGCTATCGACTCCAACGTAAATAATTGGGGTGGTTTAGTGAAATTAAAAGCCCCGCAAAATAGACGTCGCTACTTCGCTACGACCGGGGAGCCGGTCGGCCGAGCGGACAGCACGCTGGACTTGTGATCCTGTGGTCCTGGGTTCGATCCCAGGCGCATGCGAGAAACAATGGGCAGAGTTTCTTTCACCCTATGCCCCTGTTACCTAGCAGTAAAAATAGGTACCTGGGTGTTAGTGTGCTGTCACGGGCTGCTTCCTGGGGGTGGAGGGCTGGTCGAGGACCGGGCCGCGGGGACACTAAAAGCCCCGAAATCATCTCAAGATAACCTCAAGATAACCTTGGACTAGGGGAAAATCCAGCCCGTCCTCTGGAGCGTTCACAACGTCACTAAACTGATGTATTAAATAGCCCGAACCTAACCTAACCAAGGACCCACGAATAGAAAACGGGACATGACATCACTTATGCGAGCCGCTGTGATATTTAGTACATTAGATTTTAGCCTTAGGAGGACTTATACGTCGAAATACGACGTACTATTCGACTGGGCATTAAAGTGTTACACAGACCCACTGTGGCATCCAATGGCAGCAAACCCTGTACTCATAATACCACCAACCACAGCTAAGAGGATCAGTTACATTTGCTCTTAACAAACTTTACATGGTCATACGAGCTTATGGTTTCGTACGAAATTGGTAAATATATATACGAAGAATAATTGTTATGATATTATTTGAGTGTATTTGTCTAATGTGATACGATTAAATAGATATTTGGTCGCTAAATATCAATTCTGTCCAAGCGGAGGCCTAAAATAGGCTGAAGCAGTTGGGATAACAATCGTTAGCCGTAATGACCGTCTCGCATTGCGTTTTCTTTGGTTTGTTGTGCTTAGTGCTTCTCAAATACGGGAGGGCTGTTAAGGCCACCTTAATACCTTACAAATCTACTAGCAGGTATGCTGTATTGTGAGTATAGTCCAATATTAAAGTAGTCAGTGATGTATAGCCACAAATAGGAGCACGTCTCTCTGTGTGTGTATCAGGTTGCTGCGTTTTCTGTCGCACTGCATGAGTATAGTAAGGGAGTGAAGGTGACGAGGCGGAGGTGGGGCCGAGACCTGGCCACACCGCCCCTGGTCGTGGGGCCGAGACCTGGCCACACCGCCCCTGGTCGTGGGGCCGAGACCTGGCCACACCGCCCCTGGTCGTGGGGCCGAGACCTGGCCACACCGCCCCTGGTCGTGGGGCCGAGACCTGGCCACACCGCCCCTGGTCGTGGGGACAGACGCCCTGTGAGGCTGGAGGGTAAAGGACATTTATTAACGTTGACTTGTTTCCAGCTCAGAGTATCCAGAGACATTTTATTGCCATACTAAGTTGCCACATAATATAATTGTGTTATAAATGATGAGGCAACAATTAGATGAATTTGTTTACCACACGTTGCTTCCTTTTTTTAGTTTCTGTTCTTGAGGTTTAGGGCTTGATGTGTATATTGTGTTTTCGTGACCTTATCTGACGGCTACTCTCTCTCTAGGGGCCTCGGCGGGGACAGGAAGCCGACGGCTTGTCTAAGTTTCTCTTCCCCCCCTCTTGATGTGTAATTTCTTTATTTAATTAGAGTTTTGTTATTCATCAATGTATATTATTTTGTTACGTTGTGTGTTATTGTTGTTGCTGGTAACTGCCTCCTATAGACACTACCAGTAAGTGTATCCGGCCGACACAATATTCCTGGCGAGAACACACTCTGGAGGCACTCACAAGACACACTTCCTGCCCAAACACCTGTTTCCTTTATTTTTGATCACGAAACTTGTTAAGAACAACGTATCTATCGACGTCTGGCTTATGGCATCCATGCATGGAGATCACCACCCGTAAATTTACCTCAAGCCCATCAGCACTCGCCACAAATTCAGTTATCGGAACTATAACAAATTCTGTCTTCAGAAAACACGTCGCCCTTGAGTTCAGATCCCCAAACATGCTAAACATACATTCACTCCACACATTCCTTTGTGTTTTTTACTTATTCTCTGACGGTAGAGCGACGGTCTCGCTTCATGCAGGTCGGCGTTCAATCCCCCCCCCCGACCGTCCAAGTGGTTTGGGCACCATTCGTTCCCACCGTCCCATCCCAAAGCCTTATCCTGACCCCTTCCCAGTGCTATATAGTCGTAATAGCTTGGTACTTTTCCATGATAATTCCCTCTCTTACAAAGTCTTATTTCTCGCTTCTAATCCTGTTTAGTAACTCTTTCTGGACGGATGTGCTGTGAGTGACCCGTGAACGTCACACCAGAAATAAATATCTCTATGATATACTCACTCAAACTAAAGGTATCCAATCGCTGTGGATATAATGGGACCCACGACATGGAACTCTCATTCCTAATGAGGTTAAAAACCTTTCAACTTTTGCCTCATTCATATAATAGAACAACGAAGTGCGGATTTTCATCACTAGAGTTCCCTTCCTTGTGTTACTAACTCGTTGTACTATCGAATATTTTACTTTCTAAAAATACAACTACATCAATATAGTTTCTTTGATCACCACTTTAAATCAATGTAGTTTTTAAGTAATTATGAAAATATTTTTTTTTATTATATATATATCATGAATTTATTTTTGTATTGAAGATTGGCTGTTGCACCTTCAAATTTTAAATTCACTGCTATGTGTGTTAATGGCATTGTAACAATGTATAACTTAGTTAACATCTTAGTTAACTTAGTACTTGACATCTCGCTGTGCCTTCGTGTATGTGTCTATTTACTATATATGTACTTACTAGTTATTGCTGCAAGATTGAGCTCTTGGACTGAGAAAAATGTTGAATCAAAACTTTCTAACTGTCGGATATCTAATGCCCGTAGCAACCGTCCAACTCCCAGGTACCTATTTACTGTTCGGTGAGCAGGGGCATCAGGCAAATGAAATTGCCCGTTTGTTTCTGCCTCGGCCGGGAATCGAACCCGGACCCTTAGGACTACGACCCCTGAGCTATGTCAAATCGGCTGCGTGTGCGTGTAGGTGAGAAGATTAAATAAGTAAACTGGTGCAACACGTTATTAGTATAGTTATACCTGTCAATATTTTAGTTTTCTATTGTGATATCTAATATGGTTAGTTTTCTGTACATTTCTCTGGCTAACTATTTTATAATTATAATATTATTCTGTATTGTTGTTGATTTAGGGGCGACGACGACCGGAGGACCGCGGAATATTGGAATACTTCCTTAAGTCGGAAATTGATTATATGAATATTATAACATGTAATATTTTTGAGGTGATGACCAAACTACACTTCAGAAAATGGAGAATCGGCGACGTTTCGGTCCGTCCTTGACCACATAAGTTGATAATGGTTCAGCACGGACTCGGACGTCGTCGTTTCTCCATTTTCTGGTGTATGGAATGGTCATCATGTCTTCAGTCACGTTATTGTGACTCTTCGTCTACATTTCTG